TCTGCTCCTTCATTGAAGGGCGACTTCCCACCTCTTGGGAATGAATTCCCTGGAATTCCTCCCTCCCTCCCCTCAGCACCCACCTCCTCATCCTTGTACCAGGACAAGGACTCAGCTGTCAGGACAAACCAATATTCCTTGGATCCTCCCTTCATGATGCTGATGTTGTTGATGGTCAACCAGCCCCTCCGGATCACCTGGAGCCAGGGCGGGAAGCGGGGGAGGGAGGGAGAAGAGGTTACAGGGAACATCGACATTCCAAGGCCATTCCCAAAGCTGGGAAGTGAGGAGAACCACTCCCAAAGCCCACTGGGATCCTGTAGGGAATTCCCAGCTCAACACCAGGTTGGGGGGGTGGTTGGAGCTGCTGGGAAAAGCAGAGCCCAAGGTGAAGTTCCAGGAAGCGGCGGCAGCCCCGGGTCAGGGGGCAGGAAAAGCTCCCAGAGAATGAGGCAGGTGGGAATTCCAGGATCAGGAGGGTCCTGTTCCCTGTTCCAGGGTGGCCTGTTCCCTGTTCCAGGGTGGCCTGCTTGGAGCTGCCAGGGCTGCTCCTTCCCAAGGTCGGGACATGACGTGGAAGTTCCCTCGACCTCTGTTCCCAACCCTGCCTGGGCAGGCAGGATTCCCAGGGATCTACCACCAGCATTCCCAGTTGGAGCCATTCCCTGGGAACACCCCCCCCTGCCCCTAAACCCTGGGAATTCCCTGTTTCTCCCCCCAAATCCCAGAGCAGGATCCCAGCTCCAGTCCCCGTGTTGGGAAACACCCGCGGAACATCCTGGTGCCCGGGGCAACTTTCCAGGGATCAAATCCCTCCTGGAATAACCTCAGCAGCACTGGGAGCACCCACCAGATCCCTGGGGATCCCGGGCAATGATCCCCAAGGTTACAGAAAGGGGCTGGAATTCCTGAGGCTGGATAATCCCAGAGCAGGGTGGGATCCTGCCCGGCTGCTCCCGTCGCGTTCCCAGAAAAGGAGCAGCAGCTCCATTCCCACTTTTGGGGTTTTTTTTTGGGACAAACTGAGGGTTTCTAAGGAATTCCAAGCCCAGCAAGATTCCCATGGGATTCCTGCATCATTCTGGGAGCTGCTGGATGGAGAGGAAGGGTCTGGAGCCTCTGGGTGGAGCTGCCAGCCCCAGTCCCTGCCGGAGCCACCGGGAAGTGGGATTTTTCCCCCCCATCATTCCCAGGATTTTGGTGCTGAGCTGCTCCAGGATCAGGATCCTGCCTGGCAGGGCAGGTGGGAAAACCACCCACTCCAGGGAAAAGGGGGATGGAGGGCCCCCAAACCCATGGAATTCTGCAAAAAAACCCCAACACCCCCCTCCCTCCTCTCCCAGGTTCCCAAATCCAGGGGATTCCCGACCTGCTCCCAGGAGAAAAGGGGGATGGAGGGTCCCCAAACCCAGTTCATTCCACCAAAAGCCACTCCCAGGCCCAGAATGTGCCCAAACCCGTGGAATTCTGCACCCCAATCCCAGATCCAAGGGTATCCCGAGTCCCAGTGAATGGGATGGGGGGGGGGTTAGTGGGACCACAGGGTTAATGGTGGGAAACGGATCCAGGGGTGATTGGAGTCAGTTGGAAGTGGGAATGGGGATGGGAACAGGGATTGGGGACTGGGAACACTCCCAGGCCCAGAATGTGCCCAAACCCGTGGAATTCTGCACCCCAATCCCAGATCCAAGGGTATCCCGAGTCCCAGTGAATGGGATGGGGGGGGGGTTAGTGGGACCACAGGGTTAATGGTGGGAAACGGATCCAGGGGTGATTGGAGTCAGTTGGAAGTGGGAATGGGGATGGGAACAGGGATTGGGGACTGGGAATGGGATGGGAACAGGGAAATGGGAACAGGGATGAGGGTGGGATGGGGACAGGGAAATGGGAACAGGGATGAGGGTGGGATGGGGACAGGGAAATGGGAACAGGGATGAGGGTGGGATGGGGACAGGGCTTTTCCCAGGGCTGTTTTGTTTCCCGGGGCTTTTCCCAGGGCTGTTTGTTTGTTTCCCAGGGCTTTTCCCAGGGCTGTTTTGTTTCCCGGGGCTTTTCCCAGGGCTGTTTGTTTGTTTCCCAGGGCTTTTCCCAGGGCTGTTTTGTTTCCCGGGGCTTTTCCCAGGGCTGTTTGTTTGTTTCCCAGGGCTTTTCCCAGGGCTGTTTTGTTTCCCGGGGCTTTTCCCAGGGCTGTTTGTTTGTTTCCCAGGGCTTTTCCCAGGGCTGTTTTGTTTCCCGGGGCTTTTCCCAGGGCTGTTTGTTTGTTTCCCAGGGCTTTTCCCAGGGCTGTTTTGTTTCCCGGGGCTTTTCCCAGGGCTGTTTGTTTGTTTCCCAGGGCTTTTCCCAGGGCTGTTTTGTTTCCCGGGGCTTTTCCCAGGGCTGTTTGTTTGTTTCCCAGGGCTTTTCCCAGGGCTGTTTGTTTGTTTCCCAGGGCTTTTCCCAGGGCTGTTTGTTTCCCAGGGCTTTTTTCCCAGGGCTGTTTGTTTTCCAGGGCTTTTCCCAGGGCTGTTTCCCAGCTGCTCAGGCCGGGATCTGAGCAGGAACAAACCCCAGGAGGCAGCACTAGAGCTACAGCCGAATCCTACGGATCCTGCTCCCAGTGGGGGGGAAGGGAGGAGCCCTGGGATGAGGTTGGAGCCCAAATCCCGGCCTGGGAATCGCGGTGGCAGCTCCGGGATCCCAACGGGAGGTTGAATCAGCCTCTGGGAAGTGGAACCGAGTCTGGGCTGGAAGGAACTGAGGGAGGAGGGGGAGGAGAGAGGGAGGAGA